GGTAAGCACAAATTCTCAAAGTTGATCTTTTGGGTGGACATTGCCTTTAACTACCACATCCGATTTTGAACTTATTTCGGATCTCTCAATTTTCCCTTCAAAAATTAGTTCCAAGAGGGCATCAAATTGAATTACATGACTGGGAAAATTGGCAAAGTCGGAGTTGTACTTCGAGAAGCGCGAAAATCCAAACTTCAGCTGTTTACAATTTTTTCGTAGCTGGAAACAAAGCATTTTGGAACAGATCATTGAAACAGATGGAACATTTTGGAACAATCACTTCAGAGAGGGCTTTGCGCCACCATATTCAATGTTCTCCTCATCAAAGTCATTCGTTTAAAAAGCCTAAAACGGGTTTGCGAATGGTACCTACATGAGCAATTTGTTTGTTTCAATGATTAAAAGCTATGGAAGCGCAGAAGCCTTTTGTCACTGCTAATCTTCTTCCTCAAAAATTCTAGATAACATGTAGTTTCATTCGATCGATAAGGTCAGTTCCAAACCTGATTGGAGTCAGTTTCTTTCGTATACCTGTTTGTACAATTGTCAGTATGTCGCATACACATTTCCTTGATAGGAAAATGAAGATTGGAAATTTTTCTGGGACATTTATAGACTTTTTCAACAAATTATGTTGTACCCGCTTCCTATACTTTTTCCTATAATTTTTTTTGAGAAGCAATTCCCGTGATTTCTGGAGCCAAATTCGCGTGGTTGCACCCTCTTTTATTGGCACTCTCTTCCCTAAGTTAGGATCATTTTGAAATCTTAGCCTCATAACTGGGAAAACCAGCTTTCACACATCAATTCAGGAGATGATTAGGAAGCAGCTTCGTTGCCGAAACTTCATAAAATGCCGATTTTACAGGGGCAAGTTCGCAAACCTATGTTTTTCAATTTTTTTCAGTCTTCAATCAGTGAGTGACTGATCGATGTCGTTACATTCTTATTAGTACTTCTGACAATTGGTTCGCTGTGATCTTTAATTTCACCATTCGATTATAAAGCATGAAAAAAGGCTGGATTGATTTCTCCTCACTTGAAGCAAAGATAAATCATTATCTCTTCAAAAGTGAACTTCGAGCTAGCTCTGAAATCTATTAGCCATATCATCTACGAAGATTCTACTTCCGTCATTCTTCGTTATTTGAATTTTGAGATGGATTCGCCATTATCCATGCTTCTCTTTGTTCTCTGCGCGTGGCTAGTAGATGCTGAAATTCTCGATTCTATTACATCAAAACCAGTAGAGCCTTGGTAAGCTATTTTGGCAATATTTCATTCACCGTTTCACTATTTCGTAGGTACCCAAGAGAGTTTGTGTTTGCTCCGGTGGAAGTAATTTCAACACCGGTTTATGACAGAAATAGCGAGCAAGAAGAGCATATCCTTTCACTAAAGCGAACAGATATGTTCATAGGACGGAGGTGAATTTCTTCGAATTTTTTAGGCAGTAGTTATTATTTTTATTCTGCAGACGTCGCCGGGCTGTGAAAAAACCTTCTCCGAATGCATTGGACGACCAAGCTGCAGCAGCGATATTTGGCGATGAAGGGAAGTGGGACCATAAGCCCAAACATCGCGAAAGTTTTTTAACCATAAAATTAACCACGTTCAAGCCTGAAACTGATATTTGTAGGTAGGCCCGCCAGCTCCGCCGGATCCGGTGCTCTACAACCGCCAATTCCCCGTTAAACCATCCGGCATTCAGCGAGAAAGTCAGCATGGTTCAAGGGAATACGATAGTTTATCTTCTTCCAACGCTCACCTTAAAGCTCCGTCTGGACCTGATCACAGCGTTCCCCTTGGAATTGGGCAAGGACCGTCTTCTTCCAAAATGGCGGAGAAGATTCAACGAAGATCTGAATCTAAGGCGAAAGATCCCTCATCTTCCAGCACAACAACTGATCCTAAAATTCCTCTCGGAATAGAAAAAGGACGATCTGATGCTGACATGCAGGATAAGATAGACCAAAGG